AGGAGAGCCAGCGATGCTACCGATGCGCGGGCTTCAGGATCTCGTGAGGTCGCTGCGTGGGGGGTCGGAGGAGGATGAAGGGACGGAGGAAGAGCGGCGGGAGCGGGACCGGCGCGAGATGAGCGAAGCGTTCGAGCCCGATGAGGCGGTGTGGCAGGAGTTCTTGAAGAGCGTTGGTGTGGAGGGTGCAGCGACGTCTGGTTCGTCTACCACGGCGGAGAATGGCGACGCCATGGATGTTGACGTTAGGAGCGACGTAGTGGACGCTGACGCCGATGGAGATGCCGATGAAGACAGTGGCGGGGGTGGGGGCACGAGTGGGGGTGTGTCGCTCGGGCTTCCACCTCCTAACAGTTCTCCATCTTCCAGCGTACCTTCCGCTTCCACCTCCGGCTCCATGCTCGGCGCAGGCGTGGGGATGGGCGTCGAGATGGGGATTGGGATGTTCGGGATGGCCATGGGCGCGATGGGCATGGGCTGGTTTGGAGGCCCTGCGAGTCCGCCGGTCCCTGTTGCCGCCGGTGACGGAGAGCGCGAGCGCGAGCAAAAGAGCTCGCTGAGCTTTGCGCTCGGAGTATGATGTGGGTCTCTGGTGGGCCCCTTCTCTCGCCCTTGTCTTGTCAAGTACGCGCCGATGACCTTGGCCACACTTCATCATCCCCATCTCCTCGCTTGATTCCCGTCACCGCGCCCCGTCCTCGCTTGATCCCCGGACCCACTGCGGCTCCTCCCTCCCTGAGCCGACGTATAACTCGGCTCGTACGTGTCCTTGGCGGTGGATTATTGGCGTAAATGCCTGTGCTTTTACAGACTGCTTACAGTATCGTTTTCCTACTTATCTCCCAGCATCTTCCCCCATCTAACTGTCATCTGCATCATCCCCTCCTCATCCGCTCGTATATACAATGCTCTACAGTTACTTACTAAGTCGCCATATTTACTTGCATCGTCCTAAAGTTACAAGTTACATGTCGTTATCATACCTCTGCTGTGTCTATAGTGTATTTGGAATTTATACCTTACTCTGGAGTCTGATCGATTACATGGGGAAGTCACAATCATCTTTTCCTTCTGCCATCATATCGACGCCGCGATATTAATGAGGCGTTGGCGCGTCGACGCTCCATCGATGGACTCGGCTTCACGCTTCTCAATCCTGAGTCCCACCCGCAAGCTATTCAAATGGATCATCATTCGCATGTAGATCGCAAGCCACTCCGCGCTAACCGTTTCTCAACGAGCAGATAAAGCACCGCTATGGCAAATGAGACTCCTTTTTTTTCCATCTTAGCGCTACATCCGATCTCTCCCTCTGTTCCCTTGCTTTCGAGGCAATCCTGTTTCTGGACACCCTACTATTTTCTGGCGGGCATCGCTGTTTCGGATATCCGGATCTTGCCAGGCTCGCTGTCGGCTCGAGCGTCTTCTCCTTTGGAACTCAACGCCGGATCTGTTTCCGTGGCACTCTATGTACTGGTAGGCTGTATCCTGTTCCATGCTGGCGGTTTGAAACGAATCTCATCTTACCAGGCTCCGGTGTCCCTTCGTCAAGTGGTTTTCAATTACGACACAAGTAGCCGTCCTGATGTTCCATCATCCATGCGGTCGGCGGTCTTCTTCTGGCGTATACGGTCTCTCTACTGGGATTGCACAACGATGGATTTCTTGGGCCGGTGAACCAAAGAGTGTCCCTCTTTTTGGCTTCCTACCCCCTCTTCGTCCACGTCATCTCGAGCCAAACCGCGTTCAAGTTATCGCAAAATATCTGCCCTCCTCGCCGGCGTATTCTCCCAGCCTGTACATTCACTGTCAGTCGATCATCGCAATTGTACTTGCAAATTCCCCGGTGTGAAATCCTACCTAACTTTATCCCTGTGGTATCGCGGGTGTGAATCCTTCAGGTTAATGGCTGGACGAGGGATTATACTACGGATGTGCCTGGTTTTACGGTTAACCTTCCGGACTTTCCTCCCCGATTGGCCCCACAGATTGCAAGTCGGCCGCAGGAAGGCTATTTAACTGTCCTCGGCATTCATTATTGCTCCTCCTTGTCCCATCTTCCCCACCCCTAACTCTGGCGACTGTGCTCGCAGGCTTTTCGGGATCCAAACACTGCCCATGCGCCATTTTATCGACCATCTTCAAATCCTAGGCTGGAGCTCATTATCATCGGCCACCTCCAGTCGTCCGCTGAATTCAGAATGAGTGCTAGTTCGTCCAGATCACGTCTGATTGGCACAGCGTTATACTTGCAGGGGTATAGGCGAGTTTAAATCGATTAATTTCTATTGAGAGTTTCTGCCCCTTCGATCATCTCTCTCTCCAACATCTTGCTCTCTCTGCGATTTCAATCCCAATCCTCCTCCATTCAATCGCCTCGCTCTGACATGTTAACGTCATTTTCGCCGGCGTTCGCCAAGGGATGCTCTGCTTCGTGGCGATCACAGCCTCGTGTGGTCTGGCGGTCTACCAATTTGCCGGACTCCTTCTTGTCCCTGCCTGTCCACACCCGCCATTTTAGCTTTCGAGAATAGGTCGCCGTTCATACTTGGGCTGTCGTAAGGCGCGGTGTCGCCGGGATTTTGTTAGACCTTTGTCTTTCTGCCCTTGATCCGATCGGGCGCTAACTGGCTCGCGGGAACCTCGTTTCATTTTCACGCCGCAATCGACACTGCAATAGTGCATATGCATGCCCATGCTGGAGGATGTCCGCGCACAACTGGAGTCCACGCAGTCCCCACTCACAAGGGTGCAAGTACTTAATCCTCCTGCGACGTCTTCTTCTACGTGGCCGCTCTGTGACGAAACGAAGTCTCCTGGACGCACGTAAGAGCGGGGTAGTGTGAGAGCATCAACTAAAATAAAATCCGAGCGTCCGTGGCCGGATGTACGCTGCGCCGTTACTCTGCTTGTTGCGTCTTCCTCCCCGCTCGCAAACCCATCTCTTTGTCCGACCGCGTCCTTTTCTCTCAAGATAATACTGATGTACGTGGGCCTTTCTGTCTCTTCTGCTTTTACACGCCAGACTGAGTTTGCAACGTAGGCCTGAAGCTTTTCCAAGGGTGCAAGACTCGCCGAGTTTCAGCGATTCGCGGTCGCTTTCAAAATCCACTTCGTACTCGTACGGGGACGATGACGCCAACGCTACGCTCGACGTTACATCTTTCAGCACTGAGGGATTTTCAGACTTCAAGCTGGACTTGACTTGCCTCTCTCCTACTCCTTCCCCTCCTCCTTCCCCGCCTCCGCCATCGGACCATCCCTTTTCATCCTATCTTCCATCGAGTCCGCCGTCGTCGTCTCGTCGCTCTGTTTCTTTTTCCACGGGGCCGTCACCGACTTTAGGAAGAGCCTCATCTGCGCCGCGGCTCAGCACGTCACCGCGCATCTCATTGACAGGCGCCCCGTCGAATATACCCAGCTCATGGCCACTTTCTCGTCTTGGACGCGGAACACCCATTGACCGTGGTCGGCGATCGGAATGGGGTGGAAATGGCATCGGCGGCGATGATATATGCGAAGAAGTCGCTGAGGACGGCGTGCTGTTCTCCACAGTCCGCTCCACATCCATGGACTCTGTGCCTCAATCTTCACAGCGCTCCATATCGCCGCTCACAGAATGGAATTACATATCTCCTGCGCCACTCGTCTACAAGTCCTACAGCGACCGCCGACGCTCGACCGTGAGCCTCGAACCGCTCCCCGAGTCCGTCAAAATCCACCTCGACGGTGTTGACCCCAATTCGTCCGCGGAGTGGGCCTCCTCGACCCAGAAAGTCCTCGCGTCGCCGATATCCGCCGCCGCGTCGACCTCGACTCCGGAGCTGTCGTCCGAGACGCACTTCGAATCGGCCATGCAGTCCGCGGAGGAGCTACGCACCCCGGAAGAGCGCGCGGGCGACGCTACCACCAACGCTGAGCACACTCAGACAGAGGTGGATTTGGGGCTGGAGTCGCTGAGCGCCGCGGTCGACCAGGGGCTGGGCCTCATCCCCGGCGGCATGACGTGGTTCGACGTCGGGATACTTCCTGGCTCGGGCCGAGCCTCCCCTTCTGTCTATTCCTGCGACCAGCTGTCCACGCCGCGCATCTCGCGTCCCCAGTCCGTCGACCCGTCCGAGGCGCGGTCGGAGGCGCGGTTTCCCTTGCGCGAGCGGCTCAAGTCGCACCTCTGGTGGCGGCGGTTCCTTGACCGTCTTCGCCTCCTCCGGACGATCGTACTGCGTCGGCGTACGGACGAGGTGTAGTTCGCTGATACGTATTTTCGCTATATCAGAAGCCAACGCTCATTCATTCGATTTATTCTTGGTTTTCACTATGTATCCGCGACGTCGTATTTACGATTAGCACACGGAATGTCTTGTACAACCCCTTCCAATCTCAGTTTTATGCGATCATGCCGTGACTCCAGTTTTGTGAGGCTTAAATACTCGGGAAAGAGACGAGCGCGGGCGTTTGGGAAGAGTGCTTTCCGATTGACACACACGGGTATCAACTAAGCCAGTTGTTTTATAGGGTGATTCGCTGTCCGATCCCATATAAATTGTTCAACCGTATAGTAGAAGTTCTTGTTCGCCGATCAAAAGCTTCAATTTTTTTTTCACGCGAAGTACGGGTCTACCAGAGACCACGTGTCCAGACATCGACGTGACCCCTGAGTTCAAACGTAAATCACCGCCGTACTGGTAGCCACGGTGTATTATACCCAGGCTGGGTCCAACGTTTTGAATACTGTACTTTTGTTTCATTCAGTTCAACACTCAATAAAAACCTGAGTGGACATTGCGGTTTAAGATAATTAAATTAGCCGATGAATTCCAACAATCGGGATGTTGCCGGGAGGTGGGGTTCATTTTTTGAAGGAGGAGGACCATCAAAAAAAACTCTGTGAATAAATTTCTTGTAAATTTGCTTGGTTCGAAAATGTCTATCACGCAATCATCTGCGCACAAATTCAACGCAGCAACGCCATTTACAGCACCCGCCTACGATTGAACACGGCTTTGGTGGGGTGGTGGTAACCTGGGTCGTTGCCATATCTGTTTTCTTAACACTATCGGGTTCGACCCGCCGGGGGTTCGATTCCCTCCCAAAGCATTATTTTTTCGCCCTTCTTTCCCGCATAGCTTTTTCCGAGGACAGTGTATGTTAGCATGGACTGTGTACAGCTAAAATTCCATGTCCAACAAGTACGACCTCAAATCTCTGCCGAATATGTGCACCCAAATCGACCCGAGTCAAAGTATAAGTGGCAGTCCTCGTGGAGGTGACGACACAAAACCCAGAGCCACACACGTAGCACAGTCATGGGCAAATTTTTCTATAGGTTGCTAGTGATCATATGCATGAAATACGGGCAATGCATTTAGTGCAAGGGCAATGCATTTAGTGCAAGGTCACCTCAATTCAAATAGTGGGGATTCGGACGTGACCTCGACGGAGGTGATTATTCTTGTGCTGCACATATCCATGTCGGGATTCCACCTTCGCGAAGGATACCTGATGTGGTTCGTACATGACTACGCGGTCGGGATCACCACCAAACGCAGCGATGTGCTTCTGCACCCATTCGAGGGCAAGTATTTCTGAATAGCGGTGCGTTCAGTCAGTCAGTCAGTCAGTACAAATAAAAAATCAGACGCACGGTCTCGAAGACCAAGATTCGTCACGCCTGCGTCTTGCACTTCATTTCCCCAAAAGAACCCGAACGCTGAGTAAATAAAACTAACTTAGTCCCGGCGGAAAATGTAAAGAATTAAACAGAGAGTCACTGACCCGGTAGTTTAGAGCGACGATGAGGATCGGTTGAGCAAAATAGATCGCTCCACCGTCGGCCTCACATCGGTGTTAGCTGAGTTGCCGACTACGAAACCGCCTGAGTAAAATACAAGTCTGTGAGTCATATTGAGTCTACACCGAGCACATACCACCGTAGATCCACTAGAAAACATCGGTCCCTCATCAGCAAAAGACAAGGAACACATAAGCAGATGGAAGCGTACCACCAAGACAGGGAGCGTCGAGCGCGGGTGGGCGGAGGTCGGTGTGAAAACGTCCAACGTCAAGCCTTTAAAAGAGGGAAAGGGATTCAGGTTATGTTAAAGGTCATGGGGGCTATAAGCCAGTGGATAGGGTACTTGGAAGCCAGTGGATAGAGTACGACGGTGGTACAAGGTAAAAACATCGAAGTAATAATGGCGACCGGAGCCACATGACCGATCGGCATCTCGGCCACCTCGGAGTTGACCCGGTCACTCCTCGAACTCTAACACCCCCCCTTGACCGGCGTCAAGTGCGAGTGGATGATAGGGAAATGAGATTGAAAATAGGGATAAGAAGCAGAATGTGCCGAGCTCCTAGTCGGGATGAGGAAAGACATCAGGGAAAACCCAAGTTCCCTTTTCAGGCGTAACCGCACTGTGGCCTTTAGGCTCTTGCGGAACTTGGGAGGTAAAGTGAGTACTCCTCAGTACCCACAGTACCATAAGCCCACGCTACTGAGTGTGACCTCAGCGCACCAATGTCCCGGAGCCATTACATTCGCTGATTGGAATTGTGGTTCAAAATTTTGCTAAACAGAAGTTTCGAGAGGATGAAATGGTTTGCCTGAGTTTGAGAATCAGTAATTATTTTGACTCGGGAGGAGATTGAATGAGTAGAATCTGCTCATCGTCAAATTGGATGTTCTGTGATGGAATTATGCTCGAAAGCAGAGATAAGTTATGCTCGAAGGCAGAGTTATGCTCAAGGGCAGAGTATGATCTCTGTGCGGCTTGCACACGTCAAACCAAGAGGAAAGTGATACTGAAGGAGTAAAAGCACAGCTGACAGTCCTGTCGAGTGTTGGATTAGTTATAAGTCATTGTAATCAAGTTTGAACTTAGCTCAAAGGCAGAGTCGCACTCGGAGGCTGGAGTTGGGGTTATGCTCGATGGCAAGAGTTACGCTCGATGGCATGGGTTACGCTCGACGGCGGATTATGCTCGAAGGCAGATTACGCTCGGAGGCGAAGTTACGCTCAGCGGCGGGATTACGCTCGATGGCAAGGGCTACACTCAACGGTGCGGTTAGTACGCTCGGTGGCAGATGCCTCGAATGTGGTGGCAGGTGCCTCAAAGGCAGAAGTACTAGATGCTTGAGCGCGGGATTGCTCGACGGCGAGATTACAGCCGCAGAGGGCAAAATAAAGTTGCACTTATCGAGGATTCGGCAGATGTTTTGCCTGATTGTGAATGCGTAGACCCGATGACAAAGTTCTTGGTGGGTAGAAAATTGGACTCTGGATTATGCCCAATCTGGGAATATAGGATGCCGGGTTTATTCCTATTCACCCCCCTCATCCGAGGTCCCAGAGTGAGTGATGACGTTGGCAAAATTATCAATGTTAATAGATCACTTAGCTTCGTGGTTGTAATCAACCTTTGTTTGTACTCGGATTCGGATGTTCTGGATCAGGTCGTCTCTGGTCGGATTTTTCTTTTCTTTTCTTTCTTTCTTTCGTCTCTCTGGTTCATTATCCCACCATCCTAGGCTTGAGTTCGGACCAGATTTGAGTGAGAAGTCGGAATAATGAAATAGAAACTCAGCGTCGTGGTAGAATGATTATTGATGCTTCAATGTGGGACTGTCCGGGTCTTCGTCTGCGCTAAGGTCGTTCGCAGCGGAGTTGCTAACGGCGAGGCGCATATTTTCGTCAAGGCTCGAAAGCTATTGTTGCAGAATGGGAAGTCGGTTGTTGATTCGAAGTGATTACAGGTTTTGAGTTGGTCTCCAGTTGGACTGGCAGAATCTGAATTGGGTCGTCTGGCGGTGGCGTTGGTTTCGTCTCCTTAGCTTTCCTTATCAAACAATCCTAGTTCGAGTTCGGTTGGCGTGGGAAACAGATTTCAATAAAAACTCAGCTTCGTGGTCAGGATGATTATGAGCACTGTGCTGCTTGGCTGTTCTAGTCGTCAAGATCGCCGTAAAGGGCAAGATGAGAATATCTCTCCCTCCCTCATCTGCCATTTACGATGATGAAGACTATCAGCAGATCAGGAGTAATGAATTGAACAGAAACTTAGCGTAAACAATGCTGGCCAATCCGGTACCACGACCGAGGTCGTGGTTGAGGGGATGGATGCTATTGCCGATGGCGTTGAGACATCGTTCGGACCGGCTCAGTAAATGTTTCTTTGATTTAGCATGGCGCGAATTCGTCGCAAAGCTCTTGATGAGGATATCTTTAGGTCAACGAGACCCCCGTGTCCTAAAGCCATGTCGGATGTTACATCAAAGGTTTGAAGAAAGTCGTGGAGCTGGAGACGTCGCTTGATTAATAACGGCTTGAGGAATAAGGTCGAGTTCATTGCACTGCCAAAATTAAATTCGGAGAAATTCCGCAGTTCGGAGCTCGAAGACAACAAGTGTAGTGAACATCAAATCAAGGTGAATTCGACGGTTCCTCCATGACTGAGATGGTTGAAATCCGGGAAGCCTTCAATTTGTGTGAACTTGTCAACAATCGGATCTGCGGAAGTGAATGGCCAGGTCCGATAGTGAACCGTGGATCTTGAATCCGATTGAACGACTGAGCGAAGTTTGGTTCGTCGTGATGTGGCCATTGCCGTTGCGTCTCAGTACGGTCACTGGGTATTGTCCCCCCCTTGACCGACACTGGGGGAGTGACGATGGCCAGGTTGTGTGTTGCTGACAGAGTGAACAGTCAAAGAAGTGTGCGTGCTGTCGAAGAACTCGTGTCCGTAGAGAACGAGTCAGTGTTGTGTACTGAGAAGTGAGAATGGGCACTGGAAGAGGCTGCAGATGATGAGAAAGCAGTAGGGAATGAAATTTGCATCATTTCGGGATTTGGCGACATTTCAATGCAAGTCAGATGCCATCCGAGTCACAAATGTGGACGCATGTGGGCATTGAAGCAGTCAACAAGGATCTTGCCCGCCCAGGAGATCACGTAGATCAATCCAGAACAGTCGAGTTGAAAAACAGTGTTCGGAGGGACGACAGATTCATCTTGAATTCATCAGCGAGTTGATTTTCACCGTGACTGGCATGCTAAAAACAAGAAAGATGTTCAGGGTATGTCCAAGTTCACAGGAAGGGCGCTATCAATAGCCTGCTGGGTGTACCGAGGTGTACTGAAGGGGTTATCAAAGAAAGTTGTGCCAAACACTCGAGTAAAGCCAGTTTGCAGCGCCGGTTGTGGAGGCACAGCAAGAATCGGACTGAGAGGTACTTGTGGTTTGCAGACAATCTAGAGCCTGAGTAATGTTGACGTGATTTCAGTCTGTCTCGGCTGGCGAATCAATGCTCGTTTGTTGCAAGTAATTGTCCCGACAAGGTGATTGAAGCCGCAGAGTCCAGTGGGACATCGAAGGTCGATGTTGAATGACAAAGTAAGCGACCAGAGCTTGAATTGTGTCGTCTAGTAGCCTCGAAATGTCGGCCACTTTCCAGGGGAAAAGATAGGGGTCGGAGCAAACAAGCTTCGAGGTCATGGTTTCGGTGTATGCAGTTAGAGCGCGGGGCCCATAACCTGTTAAAGGTCATGGGGGCTATAAGCCAGTGGATAGGGTACTTGGAAGCCAGTGGATAGAGTACGACGGTGGTACAAGGTAAAAACATCGAAGTAATAATGGCGACCGGAGCCACATGACCGATCGGCATCTCGGCCACCTCGGAGTTGACCCGGTCACTCCTCGAACTCTAACAGGTTAGATCAAATAATTTACAGTAGAAAAACAGAGACATGATTCGGAGATGCTTGTATAGTTGTTGTCAAAGAAGATGGCGATGGGGGTAACTTGTAAGCGCCTGCTGGGGGCAGGCGGGGCCGAACTTTGTAGCGTCTTGCAAGCCGGGGAGAGGGAGGGGAGGCTCCGGCAGCTGGCAACGTCCTCTGTCGAACGTCAGACTTAGAATGGTTGACATCGTGATAATATGCGCATACCGGACGTGCGAAGGGTACTCCGAGAAACTTGCTGAGATTTCCGTCGATAGAGCCTTGAAAGACTCCACAGTCTAGGGAGACAGTCGGGCTATCTGAATCGAAAGAAGCAGCGAAGAACAAGAGTGCGGAGTGCAGGAGGAGGATTAGATCG